TCCCCCCCCCTGTTTACTTTGGGGATCGGGCTGTCACTCAGACAGATAGGTTGTGTTTAAGGGGGAAACAGAAGCACTTTGAACTTAAAGCCCCTCCAGCTGCTCGTCCTCATCAAGGAAAGGAACGTTTATTTATACAGCTCTCTTCAAGGCTATTCAAAGTGCTTTACAAAAATGAAAGATAGAGATGTCCCGATCCGATCACGTGATCGGGGATCGGAGCCGATCACGTGATTTTCAAAAGATCGGAATCGGATCGGGAGCAAAAAAAGGTGATCGGGACATCCCTAATGAAAGACATGAAGAGCATCAAACACATGGAACCATTCAAAAGCAAAGATGATAAAACATGAGTACAAGTTACAGTGCAGTGTGAGATGGTTGAGATGTGAATAGTTCAATTAAAAGCAGCGGAAAAAGAAAAGTCTTCAGCCTGGATTTAAAAGTACTAAGAGTTGCAGGTCAACAAACTCAATCTGCATGATGGGGGGGGGGCTCTTTACTGTGTTCTGATTGGTTCTCCTAAATGTGTTCTGATTGGTTCTCCTAACTCTGTTCTGATTAGTTCTCCTAACTGTGTTCTGATTGGTTCTCCTAACTCTGTTCTGATTGGTTCTCCTAACTGTGTTCTGATTGGTTCTCCTAACTGTGTGTAAACTGTCTCTGCAGACCCACTCTGAGGAGAGACCCTTCCAGTGTGACGAGTGCAAAGCCTTGTTCAGGACGCCGTTCTCCCTGCAGCGCCACCTGCTGATCCACAACAGTGAGTACCATCACACACCTGTATTAAGCCCCGCCCCCTTTCCCACCTGCTGATCCACAACAGTGAGTACCATCACACACCTGTATTAAGCCCCGCCCCCTTTCCCACCTGCTGATCCACAACAGTGAGTACCATCACACACCTGTATTAAGCCCCGCCCCTGTTCCCACCTGCTGATCCACAACAGTGAGTACATGTACACCTTTATTAGGCCCCGCCCCCTTTCCCACCTGCTGATCCCACAAAATCTCAGAAATCTTCATTTGTTCTCAAAATGTTCACTTTTTTAGAAAATCGAAAAGTCTTGAATTTTTTTCTAAATTCTGATTTTGTTTCTGCAAATCTTTAAATTCCGACCTTTTCTTAAAATCTCAGAAGTCATGTTGTTTTTCCTCCAAATTCTTCATGTTTCAAAATCTAAACATTTGCAAACTTTTTCTGTAAAATGTCGCAAAATACGGATAAAAAAAATAAATAATCCAAATTCATTTTTTCCCCTCAAATCTTAACATTTTGACTTTTTGTCCAAATTCTGACTTTCTTTCAAATTACTGACTTTTTTTCCGCATTTTTAAATTCCGACTTTTTCTTAAAAAAAATTCTTCATTTGTTTAGAAATCAAAAAATTAGCTCACATGTTTCTTCTATATTCTGAATCGGAAATTCTTCAATCTTTTTTTCAAAATCTTTAAATTCTGACTTTTTGCAGAAAATGTTATCATTATATCGGAATTTGACTTATTGTCAAAATCTTCACATTTTCCTCGAATGTTTCAGCTCTTTGTGAACAATCAATTATTCCTTGTTGGATTTAAGTAGTCGTACTCCTGTGTGTGTGTGTGTGTGTGTGTGTGTGTGTGTGTGTGTGTGTGTGTGTGTGTGTGTGTGTGTGTGT